CTCACACTGAACTCCTGCATGGTTTGACAGTGGTGCCCATCCTCTTGTTCTTCTGTGGTAATCCCCATTAATCTCTATTCTAGCGCCAGCCATTTGATGGATCCAATGTGTGTCTCTCTTCTCTCTGTTCTTTGTGCATACCAGAGATACCAGCTACAATAAGGAGGATTTACCTGATTCAGTTCACTTCCATTCCACGTGGGAGACTAAAGAGTGAATGAAGCCTCACTGCAGACTTGCAGTGCGGAGATACTGTGAATGAGATTATTAAACTATCCTTAACATATCTCTGTACGCCACTTTCTAGTGTAGCACAACCACATGGAATACAATGGAGAACACTCTTGGCTAACATCTTAACTACTGGGTTTGGTTGAGCCTTTGTTGTGGATAACAAACTTCCAGTTTTCACTAGAGCTCTAATCTTACACCTTCGATGGGACACTGTCCAGTCTTTCTTGGTTTCTGGATTTAGCCTTTCTAACAAAGGGCTAAACATCCATTAGTGTGGCTAAATGATTACCTCCAAGAGCCGGAATGACCCGGAAAAAAAAAAAAAAAAGTCCACATACATAGCATTGGGGTTTAAAAAAGTTAATTTCGCGGAAGCATGGTGACAAACAACTATCTAACCACACCCTGACCAAGACCCAGCTTTCCATGGCCTTTCATGCATCACCTACAATACTGAATTGGCAGGAGAAAGGGTGGAGAAAAGGGTGATCAATTGTTCTGTCCAAACTCAAAGGAAATGGATATGAGACTTCCTGTGCATGTACATGTTGGTTAAGGTACAGCAAGAGGAAAGAAAGGCCCATGGCAATACAATAGAAAGACGGAAGGCAGAGTGGTCACACGTCACAAACAGAGGCTAAAAGACTGGAGTCTAGTGGCCCTGATAAAGTTAAGGAGGTTAAAAAGGGGCAAGGCAATCATCTTGACAATCAGTCATGTTCATCAGCTCAAACCAAAGTTCACCGAGTTCAGAGAACCTTGTTCCTTGAAGTTGGCATGAAATGGAAATTCACTCTATTTTCTTAAATTGAGTGGTTCCCCTTAGTTAAAATCACATTCTGGGGTGGAAGAGGGACAGGGGTTTACAAATCAAATCTAGGGCAAAAATTACCTTTATCCAATAATCACTCAGTAGATAGAACAGAGTACCTGCCCTACTCTTCTTTTACATTTGTATCTCACAATACAGAAGAAAATATCTGTCGCTACTTACGTTGCATCACGATTTTACCTAACACAACATAAAATTATATTGCAGGTCTTCTAATTCTGTTATTGCTAATTCAGTTAGCAGTTATATTACTTACAATTTAATTTAATTTAACTTTATTCTTGAATCTCAACAGGTTTTACTTTTTTATTTCAGATGTGCTCAAAAATGAGTTAAGGGCCTGGTAGATATGTCTTAATCTCAGAATGTTCTAGACCAGGGGTGCCCAAACTCGGTCCTGGAGGGCCGGTGTCCTGCAGAGTTTAGCTCCAACTTGCCTCAACACACCTGCCTTCAAGTTTCTAGTATGCCTAAGAGCTTGATTAGCTGGTTCAGGTGTGTTTAATTGGGGTTGGAGCTAAACTCTTCAGGACACCGGCCCTCCAGGACCGAGTTTGGGCACCCCTGTTCTAGACTATACAAGAAAATTCCAATTGAAAACAACCTAAGGTCAATAAAACTGTCTAGAATGTTATTAATGCAATTCTTTAGCTACTGTAAATGTACAGTTTGTGCTCCAGTCATTAGCAATTAAATCCAGTTAATTTGGAGTACAAAGAACAATGCAGCAGAGTATTACCAGTAAATTTTTTTCTGACATTGCATGCAACATTCATTGCCGTGTATGAACGTGTGGCTGTCTGGCTCTTTCTCTCAGCCAGGATTCTGTCAGGGTCGAGTCAGATCGCTCTTTAGCACCAGGTTGTAGAAGGGTCCACTCTCTCTCAGGTGATAACCCTGATGCAAAGGGTGTCTCTATCACTTGCTAGCATTATGCAGCTTCACGGCATCCAGTATAAATAGATAGAGGTGATTTCAGCATCATGATTAGTTTCACACTCCCACATAGCAGATGTGCAAAAATAACACTCAAACAATTAAAATATAATTTAAAAAATTATAATAATTCTACCATAAATATGTGTCCATTGTCCATTAACAACTGAAAAAATAGTTTCTTTTACATAAAAAAACAGTATATTGCTGAAAATTATCACAAAATTTGTGTGAACTTGAGGGAAACTATTCATTCATCTATTAAAAAAGCTCAGTTCTTAGAAAGACTCTAGCATCATTTGTTCACGGAAGGCGTTATATTTTTGTTTCTAATGCAAAGACATTCCTTTTTAAATATGGCTATAGTGTCTAAATACTTTTTGTGGTCACTGTGAATAAGTATTATATAACTGACTGGCGGTTTGTTCAAGTTTATCTGCTCACTTCAACAGCAACCAAGTTCTATCTCAGCAAAAAATAAATAATAAATACTACAAAAAATAAATCTACATTTTTTTAACCTTTGCCCCTATAATCTTAAAGCTGAGTCTGAATGTCAGATCTGAAAGGGTCTAAGGTATCAGCACAACCATTGTGATGAATAAGAATTTCGATAAAGGTATTTGCTGAGTGTGGAAAGCTGCCATCTTTTCTCCATTGTTTCCAAAAGGTGAATGCGAAAATAAACTTTGACACCAGAACACAAGAGCAGACGGAGACAGACACCAAGAGGCTGTTCTGCTTTTTTTTGTCCATTTCAGAAAAAGCCAGCGATATCACTTTGAATACTGCCAATGTTTTGTTTGCCGTTTGCAGAAGCCTTTTACGTAATAATCCGCTCGGCTGTTAGGACAACAATAAAGGTCAATATGAGGGACAGAAGCATGAAAGCAAAAAATAAAGGAAACATTTGTCTTTTCATGCACGATCATCAGGTGGATTAACACTGTCTAGGTGTCTAAAATGTGAGGGGTCAGGGCAGGTCACTATGCTTACAACGGTCCTCGCAATGACTTCTGGGTATAAATAAAGGATGGTTGAAATTCAACTGATATGACTATCACTTTTAAGTGGCATTGAATACATAAGGTGTGAGAAGAGCTGAGAAGAACTTCTTTTGACCTTTAGCTGTTTGAGCAATATATATAGCGATCATTTACACCCCTCACTGACCTTGTTTCAGGCTTATATGTGGTGTCGTGTGGTTGGGGCACACTGTGGCAGAGCTAAATGAGGAGAAAGGTTGTCCGTATGACCAGGGCCGATGAGAGAGTGCTGTTAGTCACAGCGGTGTTGATGACAACTTCAAGTGCCACAGTCACACGTTTCCTTTAGTGGTTCCAGCAGCTCTGGAGACCCGTTAAAGGAACAGAAGCAACATTGATTTGTATTATTAGTTATGTTTGTTATACTGATAATTCCAGGTTTTTTAATTGATCGGAGATCTTGAGACTGGTGTCAGAAACAGTAACAAAGAAAGCAAACTCCAGACTGATATAACTGAACAGTGGCCCAAAGCTAGTCCGGTCACATGGTGGGTCTCTTCAATGTCCCATTACCAATACGCATCATGTGCCTGCATCACTCATATAAAAGTGAAGGATTATAAAAGAGATATTTGTTGTCAAGTTGGTAGTGTGGCATCTTACTTTTTAAAAGGTTGTGTGAGAAACATTGTAATTGGATGAGTAAATCTTTGTTCTTTTAGAGACCCGAAGGCACTTTTAATAGCTTGGCAGACATTGAAGTATCATGTTGATATTGTAACAAATTTCTTACTCTTGATTATACTTATGATACACTGATTATAAACAAAATTTCAGCTTGATAATATGAGTCAAATGATCCCCCATGCAAAATGTTCGTTTATTTCCAATAGTGTTCAAAAGCTTGGGGTCAGTTTTGTTCAGGGATGCATTAAACTGATCAAAATTGACAGTAAAATACATTTATGTTACATTTATGAGTATTTATTTTTAAAATAAGTTCTGTTCTTTTAAATTTTCTATTCATTAAAGAACACTGAGACAAATCTATCATGGTTTTCACTAAAATATTAAGCAGCTCAACCGTTTTCAACATTGTTAATAATAATAAGAAGAAATGTATTAGATTGCTTATGATTAGAAGCATATTAGAATGATTTCTGAAGGATCATGTGACACTGAAGACTGGAGTGATGATGCTGAAAATTCAGCTTTGCATCACAGGAATAATTACACAGTAAATTAACATACTTTCCAGAAGGCCAACAATTCATTAAAAATGTTTTTTTTTATTGGTCTTATGGAGTATTCTAATTTGTTGAGATAGTGAGTTGGTGGGTTTTTGTTAAATGTGAGCCAAAATCATCACAATTAAAAGAACCAAAGACTTAAACTACTTCAGTCTGTGTGCATTGAATTTATTTAATACACGAGTTTCACAATTTGAGTTGAATTACTGAAATAAATGAACTTTTCCACGACATTCTAATTTATTGAGATGCACCTGTATATTCCTTTTAATAAATAAATTCAGCCTTGCTGGGAATAAGAGAAAAAAAACCCATAAAAAATCTTACCAATCCCATGATGCTATAAGATACTACTGTGTAATGGATGAATATCATCCTTCTATAGGAGTGCATGATGCTAGTTTATGATAAAACAGGCTTAAAGCATTAATAATACCTTGGGTTTTGATTGAGTTAGAGGCACATATTTAAAAAAACGGTTAAAGTTAACTTTTCAGTTGAGTCGTATGAACCTTCTAGAGCTCAAAATAATAATCAGGAGACCACAAGCCTGAGTCGAATCCCCATTGTTTCTCAATACAATCTCACTTTCCTTCCTGATGAGGAGATATTCCTCCAACTAAAATAGAGTGGCAGTCCAGCATTGTGAGAGGAGAGGAGAAGGAGGAGTAGAAGGAGGTGGCGAAGGAAAGGGAGGGAAAGGAGGTGGTACTGCTCTGGTGGTATTTCTTAACATGTCCTTTGAGTATGCGGGCACTTTCAGATCGTCCATGACGGTGGTCGGCCTGCTAGCAGCTGTTTCTGATTATCAGCAAGTCTGTAATCTGTCATCCATTGACACTGAGAGGACAAGGACTCATCTAAAGAAGACTGAATTGATTGGTTTATTTTACACTAGACGTATCTGAAGATTCATTCTGGGGTGAAACACCAGAGGTGAGCATCTATAAAGACATTCATCTTTCCGTTCTCAAACCCAGAGACTGCGGACGGCTAGAAACTACCACAGCGAGTCATCCATCAATTCCAGCTTTATCTTTGAAGGAGACGGCTTACATTTTGTCAACCGGCGTAATAAAGAGTCCATTTTCACCATCAGTCTGTGGAATATACTGATGACAAGTGAACAAGAAGCAATCTGTCTGCAAACAGCCTTGTGTCCACAACTCGACCCTGTCAGGAAGATACAACAGGAAGAAAAAGAGCTGCAGTTCAATCACCTTATTCCCACTGAGGTGTCAACATACCTTCTTCAGCTCTTCAGCATCCCTGCCAAGAAGACAGCATCAACAGTCTGACTCCATTCTAGATCGTTCCATCTGAAACACTCACAAAAATCACAGAACATATGAACAGAACCATATATCAACGTGAAGCTTCGGCTGAAGTTTGAAGGCCTCTGAGGCCCGCCAAGTAGTTCTGGCAACTAATCACACATCCTAAAAGCAGAAGAGACAGGAAGTGTTCTCAGGTAAAGAGGCAGAGCCATCAAGAATCTGTCAAGATTCATCACTAAACTGCCAACTGTTTACCCATCAGTTGATAGAGAGACAAACACACCTGTCGGATCTTTAACAGACACCTGTTGGTCCACAACTACTAAAGGTATGTAAACGATTATATACAAACATTGGCCCCACTTTATATTAAGTGGCCTTAACTACTATGTACTTACATCAAAAATGAAGTACAATGTACTTATTGTGTTCATATTGTATTGCAAAACAGTTTTGCTGCTATTGAGGTGGGATACGGGTAAGGTTAGGGACAGGTTTGGTGGTATGGGTAGGTTTAAGGGTGGGTTAAGGTGTAAGGGATGGGTCAACAGTGTAATTATAAATGTAATTACAGAAATTAATTACAGATGTAATTACATGCAGATATTTTTCAAATATAAATACAATGTAAAAACATGTATGTACACAATAAGTGCATTGTACCAAATTATTAATTTAAATGTAAGTACATAGTTGTTAAGGCCACTTAATATAAAGTGGGTCCCAAACATTTTGTTTAAAAATATGATTAAATAAATGGAAATGCCTTCAATATGCCTGAAATTGAATATATGTCACCCTGGACCACAAAACCAGTCAGAAGTAGCACAGGTGTATTTATAGCAATAGCCAACAATACAATGTATGGGACAACATTATTTAATTAGGATATTATGTAAAGATCATGTTCCATGAAGATATTTTGTAAATGACCTACCGTAAATATATCAAAACTTAATTTTTGATTAGTAATAATATGCATTTCTAAGAACTTCATTTGGACAACTTTAAAGGCGATTGCACCCTCAGATTCCAGATTTTCAAATAGTTGTATCTCGGCCAAATATTGACCTATCCTAACAAACCATACATCAATGGAAAGCTTATTTATAGCTTATTTATTCAGCTTTAAGATGATGTATAAATCTCAGTTTCAAAAAATTGACACTTATGACTGGCTTTGTGGTCCATGTTCACAAATATATTTCAAAGTATACTTGTCCTCTGTAGTATAACTGGTAATATATAAGAAACTTTGAACATGGAGCAACTTTTTATTATAATAAAAGTATATTACATATATTAGTAATAAATATATTCATTATATATACATATTATATATATAACCATAATTTGTTGCCACAGAAACTAATAAAACAAACAAATAAATAAATAAATAAATAAATATTTCTTTAAATGTCACATGTTGGAATCATAACTCAAATATCGATGTTCCTAATATGTATGACTTCCTGACATTAATCAGAGTCTAAGGAGCTGAGGAATATTTTTGGCACACAGTAAACTTCTGAATATGAAATTCAATAGGTGTTTCACTGATCTAATTTAATCTAACCTTGCCGACTTTGGCTGCGAATCAATATTAGGTCTCTCTATTCAATTAACATGCTGGGAACTAATAGGAAAAGCCTGATGAATAAACTGTTATGATGGTTCCCAGGAGAGCGTCTTTGAATACATCGACACACAATGGGAGCCTTGAACGGACTAGTGAAGGAGTATCCTATGACAAAACTCAATCTCTAAAGCTTAGCCTTGTTGCTCCTTTTGCTGTTTTTAGTTTTCAGATGTCATCAAGTTATTTCAGTCACGCTGTCAGCTGCATTAAATTGCTGATCATACTCTTATGCGTACACACCCATTCTTCGGGAAAAGCACCCGCAGCTCATCTTCTGATTCTTGACTGTAAACCAGACATGTCCATCTGTTCAGGGGTATACGAGCAGACAGCCAATGTTATTAATACATTTTTTGGAGAAGCCATTCAGTGCAAGACTCATCCATCAGTGCTGATTTATCTTCAGGATTTTAAATCTAACTCTTAAAAAGTCAATTTTACTGTATTTTAGCAGTGTTGGGAAGGTTACTTTGGAAATGTAATAGGTTACAGATTACAAGTTACCCTATTTAAAATGTAATAGTAGTGTAACTTTTTCAATTACTTTATTAAAGTAATGTAACTGATTACTTTTGATTACTTTTCTAAATTTCTAATGAATGTTTATTTGCAACTGTTAATCATTTACACCATGCAGGGTTAACCTTACAGCAGAGCTCAACACTGTCAGACTTTCAAAATCCTTCATCACTTGAATTAAGATGATCAAATTTGAACACATCCACCACAAAATCAGACTTTAGTACCGCCTTTTACTTTGAGATTGATCTGAAGTTCAATGCAGATTTAAAATCATAAGAAATAGTTTACTTTTTTGAAACCAAATATTTGCATAACTACAGGAAACACTGCATCTACCAATGGTTTGGTAAAAAAATAGTTAATTAAAAAATAATAATAAATAAAAGCATATTACATCAACTCAAATACGGTTATCTAATAAGCGTGTGTCTTATTCTGTAGTAAATGAAACTGCATGTCTGCGCCATTAATTTCCACGAGGGGCAATCTCACACTCATACACCCACAACAAATTCTGAAACATGAACAACTCTATTTTTTTGTATGGACCTCACATAGGTCCTTAGCTCCTTATGGGGACATGCAAAATAATTAAAAGTTCTCTCCTGAACTATCTCTATCTATCTCTCACATGACTTTAATACTCAAGATTTAACAAAACTATACTTTCCAAATTGCCTATACATGTCAAAATTAGTACATCACCACAATATCTTTATAGAAAAATCCTACAACTGAACATGAGTCATGTTTTACCCTTACAAAAATTAACCATGCTTTTATTATAGTAAAAGTACCGTAACCATGTTTTTTTTTTTTTTGGCAAATGGATTACCATTTGTATTTATTTTTACTACAAATTCCATGGTTAAACTATGGTTAGTGTAGCAAAAACCATGGTTAATTTGTGGTTACCATGGTTTAACAATAGTAACCATTGTCTTTGGATTTATAGTAAAATCATCGTTAATTTTCGTAAGGGTTGTGTTGTTGTCTGCCCTAGCACCCCCTTCCGTTTTTATGACTGGATTCTACGAACCAGGCTGTTTTCCGCATCGCGGAAATTATAGGGCCGTACGTCTCAGAGTAGTGGGAAAGAAATCAATTAAATCTGTATGTGGATGTGTGTAAATATTCAAATGTAATCCCCTTTGTAATCTTTAACATTTTCAAATTTAACTAATTTAATTACACATTTTTTCTTAGTAACTTTATTTTGTAATTTATTTTGTAATTAAATTACGTAACACAGTTACATGTAACTAGTTACTCCCCAACACTGTATTTTAGTAATATAGATTCTCTTTTTGGATTGCTACTGACTCTGAATTCTATATCTATGTAGCTAGCAGGCTTTCTTTATTGTGCCGTCTGCCACAGTGCTGACTCAAAACAGAAAGGACAACAGGCCGGAAGAGCATGGTTCTCTTCTTGATGGCTGTTTGTGCGGCTGTTTAGCAGCCCCTATCTATCTCCAGATGCCCCCCCCCCAAAAAAACTCCCACATTGTTCTCCTTTCCTCGGGTAAACAAGTGGAGAAGGGAGTAGGTCTCACCACCTTCCTCCTGAAAGTTTCACTGACTCAGAAATAGCGCTGAGAAATGTTCACATACAGTTAGACTGCTGATGTACTGTTTGCTGACCCATGACACACTTTTTGTTGCAACTAAAAATCCCTGCAACAAAAAACAGGTAAATGTTTAAGCTTAGAATGATATGAACAAATCATCAGTTATTTTACCGAATTACATTAGAATTAAGGCTCAACCAACTCATTAAAATAACTTGGCCAAGTACATTCAGATCACATTATAGCACCTTTCCCATGCTAAAAAACAAGACACTGAGCAGTCACATTAAATGTATGAGCAATATCACACTCGCAGCAGTGCGATATGGCTATATATGGACACGGTTGTGATTCGGCCATAGAAAATCAAAGTGTGCCGATATACAGCCATATCTCACGGCTACAAGTGTGATATTGCGTTTATACAACAGTTCGACGATACTTGTGTGTAAATACATACGAAACAACAACGGAGTGTCTTTAAAACTCCTCTTTTGTGCAGAACTTCCTTCTGCCACCGATTCAAATCTCAATTTGACAGTTTAACAGCTGAGCCCAAGCCTCCGTTATTAAATCGAAAACATCACTTTAGAACTAGTAACAAAAGAACGTTGAGTTGCTTCATTGAAAGCTTATTGTATAACTGTATTAAAAGCTCACTGTATTATGTAGAGAGTATTATGAGAGAGAGATGGCCTGAGCGAGTCTGATTAACTTACCTGCATCTGATACAGCATTCATTCTTCAGCTCAATCTCATATTCACAATAAAACATTAATTTGAATGGCCGAGGTAAGTCTGCTCTCGGCGGGTTCATGAGTGCTGAACAGCAACTTGAACGTTGAAGCAATTTTGCTTTCAATGAAGAAAATTTTCAAACAGACATTTTATTAACAAACCGCATATTTTAAGTCTACACAAGTACATTCTTGTATTAAAAAAACTCTTTAAAACTACATTCTGTGACATAAAAAAGTATTATTTATAAAAATGATTTGGGCATCCGCCATGACATTCACTGTGAGAAATACAGCAAGCGGAGTGATACAAATGGTGGGAGTTCTGTTATCACTAGAATATCACACTTCTCTCAGCCAATCACATTCGAGGGCCAGAAAGAACTGTATTAAATATAATATAATATAATATAATATAATATAATATGAAAAGCTGTGCAATATTGCTCATTTATCAGCATGACTGAGAATCGGCTTTAGGCACAAGGCTGCAGGCTCTGGCCATGAGTGTTGAATGGCCACTGACCCTTTGGATGCTAGTCTATACACGTATACACAACTACATTCTCACCTACAAACTCATAAACCTACATTCTGTGCCACAACAACGGTAGTATAGAGAGACGGAATTCACAGCACAGTCTTTTAAGTGTGCCAATAACCTCTTTGGCCTCAGTGTCTTGAACCCAGCCAGTTTCCTTTCAAGTGCCTTGTAAGAGGGAAATTATATTGTTTAGGATTGTTTCCTTAAAGGGGAGGGGAGCGAGACACACTTATATAGAGACTCCGCCACATTCAGTCTGTCTTTAAAGATGTGGTTCCCACATCTGATGCCAAACTACCCTTCCCAGTAATTGTTG